CTTGTTTACCTTCAAGCTTTTAAGACCCCAGACGCTATATCTTTTGATAGCCGGGCACCATCAGCTTTCTTCACCACATTTGCTTATTCACCCGCTTTGGGTGAAGTTTTAAAGAGCAGATCAACTACCCATTCAAGAATTCATACACATTTGATTTCAGGTCATAGATTACAAATCGCGCTAATGTCTGTGTTCTGTTTCCACTCTTGCTTCTTTCCTGGCCCTTCTGAACTTTCTTGGGTAAATCTTTTGCTTTACGCTCCCAAGTGGTTGATTATTTGAAGGTGGGCGTAACTCACGACTGATGTTCTCATTATAGAACCTCTGCTTTGGTTGAAAATTGAGCCACAGAACAAAGTCCACATGTAGGAAGCACACCACAAAGCGTGATCACAAGATATCGATAGGATCAGGTGTCAGATATCAAAGACCCAGAACAAAAAATCATATCGTTGTGAATGAAGGGGAGTACGAAGTGGAGACCCAAAGCCCATCTGTAGGCAACTGGACACCCCCTTCCTGAAGGGATGCAGGGAGGAGAGGAGCCAGTCAGGGTGCAGTATAGCGCCGATGAAACATACAACTTTCCTCTAGTTCTTTAATGCCTCCTCGCCACCCACTGTCATGATCCCAATTCTACCTTGCAATTCCGGCTAGTCCAGAGCTTGTACACTGGTACAGATCAGAGCTGGAAACACAGGGAATCCAGGACAGATGAACCCCTCAGGACCAATAATGAGAGTAGCCATTCCAGGAGGGGTAGGAGGAGGTGGGGGGAGAAAGGAGGACCTGATCACAGTGATCTACATATAACCTCCTTCCAGGAGGGTGGACAACAGAAAAGTGGGTGAAGGGAGACATTGGTCAGTGTAAGACATGAAAAAAAATTAATAAATTATCAAGGGTTCATGAGGGAGGTTGGGTGGGGGAGGGAGGGGGAAAATGAGGAACTGATATCAAGGGCTCTAGTAGAAAGAAAATGTTTTTAAAATGATGATGGCCACACATGTACAAATGTGCTTGACACGTGGATGGATGGATTATGATTAGGGCTGTACCAGCCCCCAATAAAGTGTGTTTTTTTTTTTCAAAAAAGGAAAGAAAGAAAAGAAAATTGAGCCGCAGAAGAGGATGGAAGGCATGAGTTCATTTCCCGACCTCGGGTCCTACCAGTCTCTATCCGACCAATAACCGGGTCTCTCATATGACGTTGAGTTTTGTTCCACTCTGTTCTCCCACTCTGTTGTTGCTTTTGTTAGGTACCCTTGCGTCCGTTCCAATTCATAGTAACCCTGCGAACAACAGAACACAGCACTGGCCAGGTCTGGTGCCATCCTCCCACGTGTTACGTCTGAGCCCCTTCTCTGTGAGTTTGTCACATTGTGGTGGCCCGAGTGTTGCTGTGGTGTTGAAAGTTATGCCAATGGTGTTTCAAATACCAGCAGGGTCACCCATGGTGAAGAGGTTTCCAGAAGATCCAGGTGAACATGGGACCTTTCAGATTAAGACTAAACTAAAGAGGAAAGAAGATGTCCACTTCCGAAGGATCCGTCCCTGAGAGCTGTGTGAACAGCCGCAGAACAGGGTCTGCGGTAGAGCCAGACACTGAGCCACGCAAGTTGGAAGGCACTCCAAATACAGCTGGGAAAGAGCTGCCGCCTCAAAGTAGAGTCGGCCTTAACGATGCGCGTGGCTTAAAACTTTCGGGTCCTTCGTTTTCTTATGGGGCACCACTTAAATCGAGAAGAAACAACGGCAGACAGCCCACGCTAGCAAGGCCTGCTACTGGGGTACCTCTCAAAGCAGTTGGCAGTGGTAGCTGGCAGCGCTGGTCTCAAGGCAGTGCATAAGAATGGTTGGGCGGTCCGTTCAGCCCTTGGGTAATTGTTTCCATGCGTTCTTGGTTTCTTCACTCTTCTTTCTTCTAGACAGGGAGAGGCTGATAGCGGCGCCTTCGATGGCCGTTCACAAGTTTGTAAGACTGCCCTCACACCTCACCAAAAGTAAGATGTGGAAGGCTGCCTTTAAGGACTGTGTTATGCGAGTTGAGCTTGATGTCCCCCAAGGCCCAGTGACTCATCCCCTCATGGGCTTGGTTATGTCTAAGAAGTTATCCACAACTTCACCACTGTGGGCTCCACTACATTCAGCTAGATATTTGCAGCCAAGGTAACTACTCATGCATATTATACATCCTCTGTCCAACCTGTATATATTTATGGGGTCTACTCTCACTCTCCACCCCACATCTGTTCAACTTGCATGTCTACCCATGAATCTACTTGAACATCACTGTTACTGCAGAATTGTCTATGTTGTTCTAATTGTTATTGAATCAGTTCCGATGCATAGTGTGCCTGTGTACAACATTTTGTGAAACACTGCCTGGCCTTGCACCATCCTCACAATTGTTATGTTGCTACGCTATGTTATGAATTGTGTATAGAACAGTATTTACCACTGTTGCCTTTAACACTTCTACTCCTCCCATTGTCTCCTGCTTCCTTTTTGGCTTATCTCCCCCTTGTACATCACCTTCTCCTTCATCCGAGTTCACACACGTCCACTTTTTAGCCAGTACCCCTGATACAACTCTTCTACCCCTATTAACCATCAAAAAATAGTTCTTTTAGTGTGTGAACCTTTTCTTGACTGCCCTTTGTCTGAGACAAGATGCCCACCGGTGGACAGACTTACTTCTGGTATCTCAAGTCTATGCCATTGGTCCATGTGTCTGTTGTTGTACTAATTCCAGGCTATTTTGACTACCAGGTTAAAGTAATAATTTCAATTAATGCTAGACGAATCCAAAGGAGTTGGAGATTAATGATGTTCCCAATGTTCCACTCTTCCAAGATGTTAGTTATTCTGCTCCATTTCCCTCCCATGCCTCCCTTGAGTATAGTTCCTCCTGTCCCTGGGTTCTGTCCTTCGCTGCAATGTCCCACAGAAATTATGAAACTTTGGGGAGTGTCTCGTGTGGTGATGAGTGTTGTTCATCCACAAGCTAAAGGTCAGGCAGCGATGAGCCAAATGCCGAGTGCAGAGCCAGCAGCCCCACATGTCCAGAAGTCACAGCAGGTCCTTTCGCTTCTGCCCAAGCTGAGCCAGGAACAAAGGTCTGGCTTTCCACGTGAGGTGATGTGTGTTAGAGCTGTACGGTGGTACCAACATGTCCAAGGAAAAAAAGATTGTGTCTTAAGTTCCACACTCGACTAAGGTAGATCTAAGCTGCCGAGAAACACAGGGTGTGGCTTGGTTCACAGCCTCTAAGGTAGGGTCTTACAGATGCCAGCAAGGAAACAAAGAGTGCGGCTTGGTTACCACCCTTTACCAAGGCCAGGTCTTAAGGTCA